AGCAGCCTTACTTTAGGAAACATTGTTTTCTCCTTAGCCCTGGGAAAGAGGAAAAACCTTTTTAGACCAACGGGATTCAGCATCCCAGAACCTGTGCCCAAGGAAATGGGGCACTTGGAAGAGTAGATTTGCAAGTAGAACATTTTCCTGCTATTCTTTAAGTCAATGTTTTCAAAAGCATTTGAACTAACTAAAACCTTTAAAGTAAGACAGACTTGAAGTAAAACAAAATGCATTAGCTAAAGCCAAATGGCAGATATTCTGAGACATTAAAAAAAAAAAAAAAAAAAAAGAGGAAAGACATAAGAACTAGCAAGGAAAGAAGGGCCCTGCAAAGTGATGTCTGGGAGCTACGCAGTGAGGCACGAAGCGAGCCTGAGTGGCAGAGAATCAAGACATGGCCTCATGTCCCCAATACCCCTCAGGACTGTGGCCATGCTGCAGCTCTCCCAGTGGCTGTCAGTGGGAGCTATGGTGTATGGCACAAAGCTAAGGGAGTTGGCAGCTGTGGGGAACAAAGCAGTTCTAGGCTTTGCCCCGAGGCTACCTGGCAAGTACTAGGGGGAAATTTTTGGAGGAACTTACTTTGAAGAAAGTAATTCCCTTTGGGTTTTTGATGATGAGCACTCTTGACACCAAGCAGTTCAGCACAAACCACCAGGGGTGTGAGTGACAGTGTAATGTGAAATGTAGCCGTCTGTACAATGCGGGTGGTGCCACCACCTTGGCTGGATGGTGAACGTTTGATGTTTTGCCACATCCCCACAGTCACTGCTGGGATGTCCCACAGCCTTGGCTTCCTGTTAGGGGGACAGCATTGTCCGTCGTCTTGAGAGACCAAGCTGCTCGCTGGCCAGGAGGAAAGAACAGTTTGTCTGCTGCCACTCTTCTGCAGACTTGGCTGGAGATGTCCACCTTCTGCTTTCCAAAAATGAGCTGCTTTAAGACTTGTTCTTTATCTTGTGTGCCACTGTGTCAAGATGAAAAGTCATTTTGCAAAGAACATCCTTTTTATTTTATTTTATTTTATTTTATTTTATTTTATTTTTGCTTGGACTTCAGATCTAAAGATACTGCTAACTCTGGCTCTTTTCTCAGCTGATTCTCCCTGTGAATATGTTGTTTTGACACCTTCTACCTGCTCCATTTTGGGTGCCTAAAGCTGAGGGACTTGTAGGTGAAACTGGAAAGTTAGACTTCAATAGCTGAAGACCTTCAACAGCTGAAGACCTGAGCTCTTCACACATGCAGGTGCAGAGATGTGAGGGACCCCCCGGGTCTCACCACCTCAACACTGCTAATCCCAGCTGGTCCTCTTGCCAGCAAGGCTAAGATCAAAAAGCTTTCATCTTCAGACAGATCAGTCTTGTGCCTCTCTGTGGCTTTTCTAACAAATGAGAACTCTGCTTGTGAGTATGGATCACTGGTGACAGTAGGAAAATACTGCTTCAGTAAGGAAAAGAGACTGAACTCATAATGCACAGCACAACTCACTTGTGACACTAGGTGGGAAAATGACACCGCTCACCTTTGCTTACACACGAGCATAAACCAGTCTGGGCATCAGAAACATAAAAATGAGTCAAAATACACATTGATTCTGAAATCAGTTCTTTTTTTTTATCCTTTAAAACCATGGACAAGAATGTACAGCTCCACAAAAACGGAGGCCAAACATACTGAACCAAACATTTCCTGGAATGCTGTGTGACAGTTTTGCTACTGTAATTTCTCTTGAATCAGTCAGTTTAAAAGCAGTTTTCATTTGCAGTCAAAATAATAGTGGTATACATTGCACGCTCCTTGAAACACAATCTTTGTCATAGGCACTATGATTATTTTTCTTCTCATTTTATTTTTACTGGTGAAAAAATAAACACAGTTAAAAATAGACAGCTTTTTCCCCATCTTCATTGTGTTTAGGCTATGTGGTTAAGTGGATACTCTCTCTATCTATTTAGATGAACTAACGATAAGCTGGGTCATTTATTTTCTAAAAAAGTTTGCGTATGTAGTGTTACATACTATTCAGAAGCCCCAAATCCAAGTCAAGTGTTCATCAGTGATTTTATTGACAGCAGAAAAATTTTGCTGATATTTTTGTTCTTACGTCAGTGAATGGCTCAAGACTTTTGGCTGCTGAAAAGGTTTCACAAGACTCACCCTAAGTACGAGGAATGCTCAGACTTCATGTCCATGCTAGCTGCAGTTCCATGCATATCTACAGATCAGCTTTAAGGTAAAGAAAAAATCATGTGACATGGATAAGATCTGGTGGACAATAAAGGAAAGCAGGAGATCAGGTATAAGTCTACAATAAAAGTTCATCCATTTAAATGAAGCTTTATTACTTGGCTAGTGTTCAGCAAGAAGTCTGAAAAACTGCACTTGTGACTGTTAAACTATTTTTGGGAATCAATCATTCCACTTTCATTTGTGGGCATTTTAATGTCCCTGTTCACCAAACAGTGAGGGCTGAAATACTATTTAGACAGCATATCAGGCACATGATTTGCAAAGACAATTCTTCCCTTGCAGTTATTCCAACTACCCAAGCTGGATATTCACAGTGAACAGCAAACCATGTCTCCATTACCTTCATTCATGTCTAAATGCTTTCAGTACAGTTAGTTGCTCAGGACTGCAGCTGCAGACAGCAAGTGAGCCATGCAGGGCTCTGCCAGCACGTCAGTGAACTACCTTATGAAAGCAAAGAGCTGCAACCAGATCCTCCCTGCAAAGAAGGAAAGCTGCCCAGAAGCTGCGGTACCTTGGAGCACAGTGTTTGCACAGTGATGAGTTCTCCTTCTTCTCTGAAGCCGCCTAGAAATAGTTTTACATCAGTATAAACGCAGAACTGCTTCTACTTAGTGGAGAAACTGAAATGCAAACCCAACTTTATGGCTAATCAGTATGGAGTTAAAAAGACATTTTTTCTTTAAAAATTTATGATTTATGTTTTTTCCCAAGTCACCCTTTTATGTCCATCTGGGACAGACGTTCTTGCTTAGCCTAGGAAACCTTCTGCACCGTGAAAGGCAGCTTTTACTCCTTACCTGACCAGGGGTGCAGCATGCAGGGTGCTGTAGTGCCCTGGGCATGACACAGAACGCTGCCTATAGGGCTGGAGCAAGGACTGCACTGCTGTTTCTGCCAGCAAATGATGCGGGGCTTCACGTAGCACCAGCATTGTGGTGCCACTGCTGCCTGTTAACAACTGCTGTTTGAATGAACCTGAACTGCTATCCCCAGGTGCTGGAAAAATCTATTTTGAGATACCACAAACCATTGCACCAGTTTACATACATAGTATTACCTGCAGCTATATCTGAGCCATTTTGGCATCACCCTCGTGAAAATACTAGTAGGAAGGTTTTCAGTAGTTAGCCCTTACTTCAGCCCCTATACCCTCTGTAGAGAAGGCAGAGCACATCTCTTGCCTTTGCTTTGCTGTTTATAATGTTATAAATGTTTTCAGCATTTTATTTGGTAGAAAATAAGTTTATTAGGATGAAAGAAAGGCTAGATAAGCACACATATATACAAAACCTGCTCAGAATAATCCTCACCTGTGGGGGTATCAATTCTTTTTCTGAAGTCAGAATTTTAAAGAATTAGTCTCCTGGGCAGCTTTGGAAGAAAAGCTGCTACAGTTAGCTGAGATGAAAATGCAGACAGGCTGAATTTACCTTCAGTTCTCTATACAAAATACAGAGAAGCAGTGTTGAAGATTATATTTAAAAGGCAAACAAAAGGGATAATATGAAAGATCAACCTGGCAGCTCTCTCAGACCATCCACACTTGAATTCTAATGCATAAGATTGCTGCAGAAAGCATAAGGAGATTGTTGGCTAGTACACATACTTGATGCTGGACTGTGAAACCCAGATCTGATCTGTAACAGGAACATTTCAGGCTAGGCTTGGAACTGAAGTTACAGGATCAGAACCAGTTACTTCACTAAAAACTGAGGACAACTCTAAGACAACTTGAGAAACAACTTCACTCTTGTAATAATCAAAGAAAATATAGAATGAAGTATAAAAAATAATGTTAGTTGGAATCACACTGCTTTAATACTATTGAAATTATCCTAATGCTTAGAAAAGTTTCTGCTTGGATTGTGAATAACAGGTCAGTTCAAATCAAGTCCTCAGAAGACTCCAAAATTCCACAGTTGAAAGAATTTCAAAATTTGGAAATCTCTTATTCAAAAAAAAAAAAAAAAAGTGACGACTACAATTTCACTTATAGGAGAGAGATCTCAGAAAGAAACGAAAGTGAGGTGAGCTCCTCAGTTGTTGTATCCTGCAACTCAAAATCTGTTCCTCCTTCAGTGGGAAAAGCTGTGCCACACAGTGAGAGGTTCTCTATCTATTTAAAAGCAGTAGGATATTACCTGTTCTTAATACCTTTTTTTTTTTTTTTTTTTTGTATTCTTATCCCCTAATCTGTATTCTTCATTTCCAAATATTTTCACAACTAAGAAATCATGCTCTACGTTCCTTCAAAACAAGATGTACTTAGAACAGTGTGTGCTATACATAACTCTTCTGATTGTTTTATAAATGTTGGTATTATTTACATTATTTAGTGTAACGCATGACAGGGGTCTTAACCTTCAGAGACACTTTAGTATGAATGAGCAGCTCAAAGCCATAGTTGAAGTGTCACTTCAGATGGCTTCTGGTCTTTGGTTCTCTGCAGGAGTTGGAGGCTTTGCTCTGACTGACGCTACTCCTCATCCCAGAACAAGTTCTGTCCACAAATTACAGCCACTTCATAGGCAACACAAGTGGTCAAGATGTTAATTCATGGGAAAACACCAGTGGGCTTTAAACAAAATGCTCTGAATTTCAAAATTAATTTATCAAGGAGCCAATGGGAAAAAGAAAATGCTGGCTTTGCCCAAACTGTGTCAGTTCTTTTCTTGTTTGCTTTTGGCCACCTTAATATCCAGATTAGACAAGCAGTAGTACCTTGAGTCATATGCATACAAGCAGTGGGATTTAATGTATGGAAAAGGAAAACTGAAGAGAACTGCAGGCTCTGTGACTGGAACTGCTGAGAACAGATAACAGATAGCTGTGGGGAAGGGCAGGAAGCACCCCACAGTGCTGCACAATTCCTGATTCCTGGAATTCCCTTTCTAGGAGTACTCACAGCAGGTAAATGGGTGCATAAGCGATTTTGAAAGTTTGGATCTTAAATTTACTCATCAGATCTCCCTACTGTCCCAAAAGTCAGGTTACAAGTTATATTCTTGATTATGAGGGTAAAGTAAAATTGAACATGTATAAAAATACTGAACTGCTGCCAATCCAGTGATGTCTGAGCTACCAAACAGCACAGAAGTGGTACTTGCAATGCAGGAGCAAGGAAAAAGGACAAGATACCTGGTCACCACAGTGATGTGTTCCAGACCACGGGCAGTGTTAAGTAAAAAAGAAATATAAACTGCATGTGGGTCTGCTCCTGGTGGTGCTAGAGAATATGGTGCTTTTCGAATTTCTTACTAAAACATACTACAAATGGAGAATTTCCACGCCACTTATATGTATGCTATACTTAATGTACATTCTTCAGTCATCAATAAAAAGCTCTTCATTATATCTATAAAATATAATAGTTCCTTTGTAGAAAAACAAAACGAAACAAAACAAAACCCCAATCCAAACCAACCAACCTGTAGATTGTGCTGCTGTGATTTTAGTTTGTTTTTCATTTGGGAAAAGTTTCAGAAGAACAGCTATATGGAATATCAGGAGACCACTCCCTTTTTATAGGACTGCTGTCCAAAGAGGATGGAGCTAAATCTTTTCAAGAAAGTAAGAGTAAGCACCCCATCAGTGCAGTGGTAACAATGAATCAAAACATTGGTTCTAATGGAAAACAAAATTACTAAAAGTTTAGGAATTTCTGGTAGTTATCCTTTCCTTAAATACTACTAACGTGGTCAATTAATAAATTGAAGTTGTTTTTTTTTAAGCAATTCCAAAGATAAACAGCTTATATGAGTTTTACCATTAAGAGGAAAGCATCTTTACGCTGTGCAGCATACACTGAGGATGGCTGTTTCTCCTTCACAGTAAGATTGAAGTTATAATAGCTATGTAGTTTTTATCTCATATATGAACTTTGCTACATAAAATAAATTCAGTTTGATAATTGTGATTTGGGAGAGCTAAGAAACCTAAAACAGGAAAACTGAGCATCCTGGTTGTTTTCATGTGAATAGACTCCAGAACAAAGGGATCATAATCTTACTGTCAACTTACAGTAACAATACAGTATAAAAGGAAAAAAAGTCTGCACCCTCTTACATTTTCAGCAAGATACAGAACTATGTTGCACTTTATAGTATTTACTTTTTCCCAATCTCCTTGAGATTTTAAATTAATGCCAAGATAACAAAGCATTCATATAAACTCATTGTTTTCCCAAGTGAAAAGAAGTTTCCAGGGAAACTACACTTCATTGAAAGGAAATGTGTATTTATGTCATAAAAAAAAAAAAAAAAAAAAATTATTCTGGGTCTGCTCCTTCAAGCTTTAATTTCATTTGCTGCAGCTAGTACTCTGACAGAGTTCTTTGGTATTTATTCTCATAATTTGTTATAAGAGTTCAAGTAATGCCCATAAGTAAACTGAGGGTAGCTGGGCACGAATTGGAAAGAGGAATTGGAACTTCTGTCCCTCCCTACAAGATAAATAGACGTAAACCATCTGTTTGAACATTTTGATTCATGAGCAGGTACGTGTTAGCACCTGCCATGGTCTCACTGTTTTTATAAAACGTAAACAAGAAGCTTCAGAAGATTTTGATGAATAATATTTGAATCAGCCACCTTTAAGTGGTGCTAAGCTAACTGCTTTTGGAGCCCAGTCAGTGATACTCAGCTCTTGTAAAAGGATGGACCTGACACACAAGCACTCATCTAACGAACCTCACACCGCATTCTAGACAGGGCTTTGCATACTGCTATGAGCATAATTTTCATAAGCAGAATAAAGATAGCTCCATATGTCAGTGTAGTGGCCCTTACATCTTGCAATAGACTACTAACATTTGTGACACTCTATTGGACATAGAGTAGAAAAGATTCGAGATGTGATCCTCTGTTAGTATATCATTATTGCACTGAGAACATCAGCTGAGAGCCTGGCAGGTGACTAGATGCCAAAAGCATGTTGAAAAGGTCTTTCTTCACTGCAATGTTTGTTCACTGAAACATCATCCTTCAAGAATTAACTTTCAGCTTTGGATAGTGGATGAAGTTTTTTAGTGGCTAACACCATGAGATGTGCCCATACTCACCCACATATCCTACTTCAAATATTGGGAACATTCTACTGTTTTTTGGGGTTGTTTGGGCTGAAATTCTTTTCAGAAACAAAATGAAAAAAAAACACAAGAAGGGATATGTATTGCACTCCCAATTCTGCTCCACAACATTATGCTGAAGAAATGCAGTTTCTCCTTTAAGCTCAGAGAAAGTTCAGCTTCATCTAACTAGCTGTTATCTCAGTTTACTTGAGTGTAGTACATTGCGTGTGAATATTCATACCAGATAACACTCAAACTTCATAGGTGTGGTGTTAATTTTAATTATGTTACAGGTTCAGAGTTCAGAGCCTCTTTTAAGGAGATTTCAGTCTCTTTCCAAGGGCAGGAATAGATGCCATTTTAGGAAGAAACTATGTTTGCACACTGACACATCCCTTCTGATCCACTGAGTTCAATGGGATCATTAGATTCAGAAACAAAGCAAAATTTGGCCTACCATTTCAGCGGGCTCAGTGCAACTCTATAGGATCTTTTCTGTCCTCTACATAACTAATTGCGAGACCTCAGAGAAAATGCTGTCCCATTCACTGTAAAATAGGAGGGTCCACGGGGGAAAATAATTGCATTAGAGAAACACACAAATCACTTTAAGTTCACCTGTTTCAATGTTTGAAAATCATTTTCTTTACCTCTGTAAACAATGACAGTTTCAATAGGATCTGAAGTGTTAACTCTTAACAAATAATACACTAGTCTGTCATATGGTTAATATTAATGTCTCTCTATTCAAACATGCTGAAAACTGAATAGAACAGTTAACATATAACAGTCACACATCCTTTGCTGAATACAAGATCGCATCTCTAACATGAACTGAAGGTATCCTCACCATTTCAGATCTCCATCAACCATTCAGTCAAACATTTCATTGTATTAAAGTACATTGCTCTTGCCCTTTTTCTGGGTCTTTTGGGGGTGTTCAGTGAACACATTCTCTAATTAAAGGCATTGCTTATGACTATATTATGATTATAGTTCTTTCTTCAACAGAAATCCTGCAGTGTGTTTCCAATACATCACCAGAAGAGAGTTTGCACAGTTTGGTAGGATTTGGGGGCAAGTAGGCCTTACAGCTGGATTGAAAAGATTTGGTGTTGACAGAGCAGTTTGTGATAGATTTTGCATTTTACTGCAGATACCATTTCTCAACAAAATTAATTAACAATTCATTAACAAACAGTTGTGAGCATGCTTCACAAATTATTGAATCAGAGCTTTATGTAGCAGCCATTTTTTAAATTACAGGTGTGTTCACTTACAGGTAGATGCACGCTCACTTGGCTTATGTCCTGAACTGGCAGGATACAAACGCTATTAACAGAAAAGTCACACAGCTGAGCTGAGGTGAAGCTGAGCCCCACTTAGCACATGGTTCATCCTCCAGAGGTTTGTCTGGTGCGGGTTTTGTGCCATGCCAGTACAGGCAGCTCAGCCCAGTGAGATTGTGCACAGCCACTGCGTAGTGCAGAAACAAGACATGGAAGGACCTCTCCTTGTGGGGATCCCAGCCTACAGCTTAATCCTCCTGTTATGAGAAGAGCTCTACAGCTTTTTAGAAAGGAGTCTGAATGAGGCATGCTCCATCCTGGGCATAAAGCATAATTTGCCCTCAAATAGACTTTTATTGAAAACACACAGCAAAGATTACAGCCATAGAAAGTTCTGTAAACAAGACAATTTCATCATCTTAAACAAAACAAAACAAAACAAAACAACAAAAAAAAAGAGCCAAAACAACACACACACACACAAACAAAAATAAAAATCAAAAAACCCAAAAAATTAAAAGAAAAAAGACAAGAAAACCAAAGTAAGACTTGATGAATAAAGATTTGTGAAGAGGATTTTTTTTAATGCCTCAGCTAGGCACAAAATAAATGACATACATTTTCAGCATTTTCTTTTTCAAATTTACTTGACAGAGGTTAAAATATTGCTTTATTCTGACTAAACATACAACAGCACTGTGTGACCGACTGTGCTATTTTGGGAAGTCTTGAGACTTGTGAACTGGAAAGTCTGGGGCACATCTAATAAGTTGAACAATTAATTTGCTGCAAATAATATTTTAATACATTCTGTATATACGGTAATTTTTTAAATCAATCTTCTGACATTATCAGGGAAGGCTATTTGGTAATTATTTATCATAGTTTATATTCTTTTTCCCCACAAATAAGCAGATATTTTAATAACAATGAAAACAGTAACATGTGAGCCACTGAACCCAAATCGTTGCATTATTGGCATATTATGTTACAATTTATTGGGAGGAAGAAGGACTCAAAAGAAAGAAAATGAAAAAAAAAAAAAAGCCTATAATATGATTGGGATACAGTAATCAGGAACTGACATTTCTTCTCTAAGGCCTTCTCTAAGGCAGCAGGGATTGATTTGCTGGAACTGCCTGTTCACGTACAGCCCCAGCAGAATCAGCTGCGTGCATGCTCCTAGGTATGCCCATCCTGAGCTATCTGCAGGGTTGGAGCTTTGAAGTTCACAAGCCAAAGCCATAATTCATTAAAGTGACCAGAGAACTGAGAGCGGAATCAAATGAGGACAGTATGGACACCTATTGGCTGGCCTCAGATCACATTGGATCTCCCAGACTCATTTCTGAATAACCCATAATAAAAATAAGTTAAAAAAAACACACATACACTCAGAAGTGCTCCTTGAGAGCATACAAATGCCTTCAAAGTTTAACAGTTTAGAAATGCTTATGGATCGGTAAAGAACAGCAGACTTTACATTCCCACTCTTAAAAACTAAACCAACCCTAACCTGCCATGGTGCGTGCTTCTGCACTTTGAGTTTCTGTTCTTCTTTTTCTTCTTTCAACCAAGAAGCTCTTTTAGACAAAGCTCAGAAGATGGAGCAGCCACAGGGCCACTGCACCTCCACAGGCCCCAACCCCTCTCCAGGCTTGGCCTGACCCAAAGCTCCTAAAAGTTTCCACTGAACTTCTCAAGCTGACTGACACACTCGTGTAAGGTAGAGAGTCAAGCATCTGGCTCAATTAAGGATTTACGGTCATTACACAGTTAGTGCCAAGAATTGGACGTTTGTGTTTCCTCCCTCAGTATGAACCTAGAACTGAGAGCAGGGGGGACCGGGTCTGTGCTAGGGTTTTGGAACTTGCACCCCTGGCCAGCATTCACTGCAGCGCTGCCCTGAAACCAAGAATGGTTCTTAGAATGGTCTTGGCCTTTATTGAAAATAGGATGCATAGCCTAAGCCTCCTGACAGCCAAACAGGACAGTGTTAAAATATTCTAGAACTGAAACTGTATGTATAATCCTGCCTAGAAAGCACCTGATGTACGCCTTATCCCTCCCGGAACATTTCTTTCCTTTAAAAAAATATTTTGTTAAAAAACACTATGATATGAGGGCGATTGACTATTTGGTTTCTTCTAAGTAGATGCTCTTAAATTAATGCATATAAATAATTTGTATTTAATTTCCTCCTTTCCTGTTTAGCAAAGCATCGAATGCACAGATCTGTTATTCCCCCTCCTGCGACCCCCACACAAAGTCACTTGGTCAACACTGAGTCTCTTTGTGTTTCACCTTTTAAGACAAATTGTGCCTCTCGATCTGCCTTGGCCACAGGGCTCATAGGCAGGAAGGCGGTGTTCTCGCTCGCGCTGCTCTCCACGTCTACGCTCGTCAGTTCGAAGTCCTCCGACCTCCTCGCATCAGTCAGAATCCGAATCTGCTCCTGCACAGTTTCTAGCAATATTTTCACTTCATGTTGTTCTGCTATAAGACAATTACTGACAGGGGAACTCACATTGACAAGTTCAGCTGAATAGGAGTTTTTGCACCATTTGATGCCTGTTACTTCAGAAACATTTTGCATTTGCATGCAGGCTTCGTCCAAGCCCACAGATGGGATGATGGGAACTGAGTTGGCCCTTGAAGATGAGTATCCGACCAAGTCCTTCTGATCCACGTTATTAAAATAAGGGGTTGTCTCTCTTGAAGGCAGTTGCATATTTATTGAAGTATTCTGAGAAGTTTTTAAACCACTAGATGAATACCTGAAAGGAATAAGAAAGATTTTTTGTTGCAAACTGAGCAGCCAGATGTGACCAGTGGAAGGAATGTTGTATGAGAGTCAGAGAGCTGTGCTGCAAGGATACACGGCTGTTTCGAGTCACACTCAGAGCACTTAGAGCTATTGTGGCCCAGGGGAAAACAGCAGGCTCTGGAAACCTGGGTTTTATTGCCACTGCTTTTCCCTCTGTCCCATTTTCCCCACCAGTACATGAGAATAATAACAATAAATTTTTATATGCTTTCAGGAGTTACACTGTACTGGATACAAGGAAGGTTTTTACAGTATGGGTGGTGAAGCACTAGCATGGGTTGTCCAGAGAGGTGGTGGAAGCCCTGGAGACATTCAAGATGAGGCTGGATCAGGCTCTGGCTCTGAGCAAGCAGATGGGGCTGTAGATGTCCCTGCTCACTGCAGGGGAGTTGGACTCCACAGCCCTTAAGGCTGCTCAGAGCCTTCCAAATCAAAAGATTCTTCAAATCTTTTTTTTTTTTTTTTTTTTTTTTTTTTCCCTTCCTATAAGTCAAATTCAAAATCTCAGTCTTTCATTTCTAACCGGAGAAATGGATTGACGTTTTCTTGAACATCAGAACTCTCAATATCAAATTGTTATTCCAGGAAAACACGGAAGAAGAGAAATTGAAACAAAATTATATTCTTTAATTGCATGGAAACAATCATCTGTGCCCCCTTTCAAATATGCAGTGTCTACATGCACTGTAACTCTGACAAACATGTCATTTTTTGTAATCATCCAATGCTGACATGATTTGGTATCTTAAGACCTCATCTGGAAATAAAGCCTTGTGCTCATGAAAATGTTATTCACCTATTCTACAAGAAAAATCCTTTATCCTCCACGTACGTATATTATAGCATGATTTCATTTATTGTGAGGCAACTTCACTGAATTTTTTATCAACATTCTCATTTTGATTCAAAGCCAAATTCATTACTCTTACCAGAAAATGTTTGCACTGATATATTTAAAAACCAGAAATGGAAAATATACTAAATATAAAGGAAACAATGCTCAAGAAGATGTTTCCCATTCCTGAAGTATTATTAGAAATGCAGTATTTCTACTACTTGTGATTACCAAGAACCATAGGCATCACCTCCACGCTACATCAATATTTTATGCATTGTCAGCTTTGTGTTCTTATCACTATGTGATGGGGCAAGCCAATGAGAAATCTAACATGTTTTACTGTTGACCATGAAAAGCAATATCTACATCTGGTACAGAGGAAATGTCTGAGCTCAGACAGGAAGGATATTTTCTGAAAGCTGCTTAAACCTACTGGACTTGCTCCTGGGTATTCTATTTACACATGCCTTGCTTCTTCTGACATTAACAGAAAGAGAACTTGGGAACAGCAATTAAAGTGTTTAAAACAGCCGTAGCCTAATAAAAGCATACAAAGCTAATTAAGTGGACAGATTTCGTTTGGCCCCAGCCTCCTGGTGAGCTGTCAGACAGACAAAAGAGGAGGAAATATCTCTAGGCTCATTTCCAGGAGAGCGCTGCTGACTTGTAGCTATCTCATCTATGGTGGCTGTGTTTCATAACTGCTTGATGTGAACCTGGACACATGCACACATGCAGCACTGTGCGTTGCTACACTGAAACTCTGCAGCAGCACTCCCAGAAGACTACAAAGCACAGCTGGGAGCTCTGCAATAAGGAAGAGGCACTGTGAGCTTTGCTGCTATCTGATGGAATAAGATACTGCTTTGGGAAGTGGGACCCAGGGGAACAATAAAGCAAGTGGCTTTTAGGAATATGAAACAGCATTTCTTGCACAAGCTATGCAGCTGCATTTACACTTTACTCTGAAACAGAAAGGGTCGGCTTTTGGTTAATTACTTTTGTTCTGTGCTTAGACACACTGGCCATCTACTGAAGGCCTTTTTTTAAGCAGTTTTTGAGAATCAGTATAATGAAAAACTGATTAGCTAAATTATTCCAGAGGGAGGACAACTGAAAATAAATTAATAATAAAGGAAAACAAAAGAGTGCAGACCTGTTGTGCCCATTCTTGTTTCCTTTGCATTTGCTTATTATATAATTGTTCAAACGACTATAGCTGGAGGGATCTCATCAGCTGCATTATTCCCCTTTTTGGTAATTCAGGCCCTACATATATTCTGGGTTGCACCCTGAAAACAAAGGGAGTGAATGTTTTTAATGAATTTCACATGCAATGGCTGTATTATATGGATGATATATGAGCGAAACCAAAAAAAGATGGAATTATCCAATGAGTTTAGTGAGATAACAGTAACATTTGCCAATTCCATAAAAGGGATTCAATTATTCTTGGTATTTTGAAAACTAATTGGCAGTAACAATAACATGTAACTCAATGCCTGGCATATTTCCATAGCTGTTTGTTTTTTGTTTCTTTTTTTGAAGTGCAGATGAACACAACCATTTTATGCCAGAAGTACGTTTCTGCCCTGTGTTTACACAGCTTTCAAAGAAAGACTAAGGTGAATTAAAGCACATGTACTGTGTGTAACAGGCAATGTACTGAACTAGCAGGGATACGACTTCAGAGCCATGTGAGAGCTGGCTTTTAGTTCACTACAAACAAATCCCTGCTTCTACTTCTGATGCCAAACTGTTGCTGGTTACAACAGAATGAGATTTCAGTCAATAAGCACCTCGAAGTGCAGAATAATAATAATTGTTTCCTGTAATTGTTTCCCAGAACTAAAATGTCCCTTAAGAAAGGTATTTGTATTATTTTCATCTGAAAAAATTATTTTGTCTGAATAAATTAAATTGTGCATGTACTTCAAAGTGCAGCTCTGCCCACTCTTCTACTGAAATCAAGTAAAAAAGCCCACAAACATTCATAAATCTGTAACAGCAACCACCCGTTACACAGTTTTCAAGAGTCTGTGTCAGTGAATGAAACTGAATGAAGCACAATTACGCTGTCCCTTAAAACAGATATTAAAGCAAGACAGGCAGGACTTATGACTTAAAATACAAAATGAGCTTCATTCAGTGTAGTGCAAAGAGCTTTGTTATAAGCCCAGTTGCTGTAGATGTTCACTGTAGGAGCTTGATGGCCAAGTCCATTAAGATGAATGAAAGTCTCTACAATGACATCAGCAGGCTTCAGCTCAGCCTTGGAAGCATGCATACCTACCTATGTGTCTACCTAAATATATGACATGCTGGGGGTCTGCAAACACATCTGTACCTGTATAAATATGCATTTGCAGATATAAGGTACTGCCTCTAGCAGCTGATACCAAGCAATGCAAACAGCTGTCACTGTGGGACCAAAATACCGCCCTTCTCTTTGCATGCATGCCCATGACACCCCAAAATGCTCGTTGGACTCTGAGATGTGACTGCCATGGAGGTATTTGTTTACTTCAAGCCCTTCATTTCAGGAAGGTTTTTCTGCTACTCTGAGTAGCGGACTGATGAGCCAGTCGTATTTGACTTGAAGTCTACAAAGGCCTGAATTGCAAATATTGAGAGCTGGTGTTTTCCTGAAGCAGCAAAAGAACCCCAACTTCTCTAAGGACCCTCCAGTTGGGTTGATATCCACTGAGAGCACCAAAAATCTCAAACAGATGGTAAGAGAAAGATTTGGGGAAAAAGGGTTCCTGGTTAGAAGACTTCCATTTGCAGTAGAATTAGAACATTATCTTTGTATTTTGGTTTGGAGATCAGATGTGCACTTGAATTTTAGTTGCTATAGTTGTTACAGTACTTCATTACTGCATCCCTTGCAAAAAGCTTTATTACATTCTGTAAAGACTACATTTTCATAAAAATATACTATCCATTATCAAAACACTTCAATAAAACAAGATCAAAGAGTTGCTATAATTTTCATGCCTCATGTTCACATGGTTGTAATTCCTTCTCATGGGGACTGGCTTAAGGATGCTGATATCACATCTATGACACTGCTGCTGGTACTCAAACATAACAGCACTTGCCAGTGTGTTTGCAGGCCTCTTTCTGAGGATATGTCCCACTGACAGAGGCAGAATGAAGCAAGTCGAGTGGTACAGACATGGATAGTACAGAAAATAAGGACGAGGTGCTTTAGGGACTGTGGCCAGAGGGGTTGCAGCACGGTGAAAAAAAAATCAACCTTTTGAAGAATGTCAACAGGCCAGATACAGACCAATACAAGATGATAATTGTAATATCACATACTGATTTCCTAGAGGAGAGCAAATACAGCTAGCCACATAGCCTTGCTGCATTTTCTACCTCGCTTCTCAAGATAAAGAGGCTGCAGCTTTCTTCCACGCCTGAGTTTCAAAGCACTGCCACGTAGCAGGGAAGCAGCATCCTCCCCGATACAAAACTACCATTTTGTCACAACTTTCTTAAGGTCTACATTATCATAGGAATGAACAACAGTATCCTGACTGTAAGAAATAACAAACAGGTTCTTCCCTAGAAGAAGCAAACTGCATCAACAAAAGAAGCATGAGACAAACCTGAACCTTTGAACAGAGGCCCACAGAAAGTTGACTCTCTTTATGCTTTGTTCTCTCCTGTCCCAGGCAAACCCCACTCGCAGTCTGCCTCCCCAACTACTCTAGTCAGCTTCATTAGGCAGATTCAGCTACAAGAGACCTAGAGAGCAAAGTCACATTCCCTCCTGGGATGCCTGGCTGTGGACTGATGCATGCCTGCTTCAGTCTCTGCTAAGCTGGGACTCAGGCATCTTTAAATGAGACCAGAGCAACCCTACAGGTATTCCTCCTGGTGTTACATGTAGTGTGTTTGCAGCGATTCTGGGAAGCCTCTGGAAATCTATAGGGATATGTAAATATTATGCAAAAAAAACTCGGCAATTGCAAAAGACTTCAAAGGCTGCTCTAGGTGCTTGGGAGCTCTTCTGAAATTCAGACCTTATGTACAGCTGGAGGTGAATTAGAAGATGAAAAATATCAGGTTCTTTGTATGTGTTCAAAGACAAACTCACATGAACCGGGTTACAGTTTTCCATCTACAGCAAACATGCAATCTACAAAGACTGCATTAAAAAATATGAAAGCTGGACTTCTGAATTATTTCCTCTTATTTGTCCAGTGCTGACAGAAGAAAGAAGTGCTGTGCAAACATTACGTAGAACTACTTCTCCAAGCAGTGTTGGCCTGATGTGGATATTTCTTTACTTACCCATGACAAGGTATTGTGTCCTGCTCTGTGATCCTGGACTCTTCTAGCTGTTGATATGCTGGTCCTGTAATCCCATTGAACCTACCCCGAGGTAAGGGAGGAGTCCTCCGAAAGGCATTTCTATGTAGCATCCCACTTTTCTGTCCTGGACTGCAGCATGAAGAGAGACTTCTAGAAACAACACACCAAAGATACAGTGACAATTATCATTGCAAAAAGGGTAAACTTTTGAAAAGTGAAGATTCAAAATTAATAATGCATGGATTACTGTTTCTATAAACTTTGCTCTGGCAGTCTACCATGTCAGCAGAAACTCTCTAAGGATACACATTGCTATAATCCACAGCTAGCTGCTGTTTAGGCCGTATCTAATAGATCACATCCCTTCTAAGAAAGAAAATAATTGATTTGCATCTTAAATGTTTTCTTATCCTTGATGAAGGATGCTTCTTTTATTCCTTGCTGTGTACGATAATCATGCTATAAGGAGATGGACCCTCCAATAGTGGAAATAAACAGCAAAAGTCCATCAGATTGAGTCTTTTATATTGCTTTTATTCTTTTTTTTATATACATTGATTGTTTTCTTGTTTTACATATGTAATAAATAGAATTCTTTCTTTTTATGGTATGATAGAAAAATACTCTTGTAAACAACATTTTTGTAGTGTTTTGTAAAAACAGCTTTCTTTTTATTTAATGCAGGAATTGAAAGGTATCTAGAATTCACACAGTATTTCTTCTACAAACCATAAAACCAGGTTTTGCTAACACAAAAATAAGGGAACACAAAATTATGTCGAAATATAACCCATTTATACTGCATGGCATGACTGGCTATTCATTTTTCAGCTACTCCTTACTTCTCTTAATATCTCCTGGGGCTCAGAAATGCATATGTATTATTTAATATTATGTCACCTCCTTAAAGAAGTTTTAGTATAGGTTTTGTGAATGCATTGTAAGAATTACTATTGTTGGTTAGGTGAATAATTAGAACTTCTGATAAAATTCAGCTATGCAAATGATTTAACCTAAATTCACTTCATTTTTCATAACATGTTTTAACAACAATCCCCATTTTATACCTAATGGAAACTTTACTTACATTGGGGCCACACCTACTCCCAAAGAAATTCTTGCTTGGATCAAATATCTTAGACAAGTTCTCTTGAAGAACACATTTTAAAACCTACCCTTTCTCTCCAAACTCAAAATAGTAGAAAGAAATTCAACTCTCTCTCAATCTCTACTCTACTGCTCACGTTCCTTTTTGGTATCTGCACTGTTCTCTCCCACACTTGTGCATGTCTGGTGCTTTTTAACTGAAAAGGCAGATAACTCATAGCAATAGCATTCACATAAAGATTTTTGATGCTCCCTTAAATAAATTTTCCTCAGCTATTAAGAAGACTACCAAACAAACAAACAAACAAACAAAAAAAACAACCAAAAAACTCTGGGAACAAAAACAAGTTAGACTGACGTTCTGGCCTTTCATTCTTGAGGGCCAAATTCAAATTGCGAGATACAGCCTGTGTTCTTTAAAATAGTGTTACCATATCATAAAGCAATTGGCAATTTCTGCTCAGGAAAATTGAATTATTAAATCAGGGAATCTTAAGAGGTACAGTTGAATGAATAATTCACAAAGGATAATGAAATTTTTGGCTTTTTGTTATTACTGATTGCAGTACGTTCATCAATGTACTAAGGAAGTCAACAAACTGATTAACTTAACAAACTTTGCATTCATTGCAGGTATTTGAAAGTAGAAAGGCAATGTTTAATAGCACTTGCTTTGCTTGTAGCCCAGAAGGCCAATAGTATTCTGGGTTGTATCAACAGAGATGTGGCCAGCAGGGAGATGGAGGTGACTGTTCCCCTCTACTCTGCCCTTGTGAGGCCCCATCTGGAGAACTGCGTCCATGTCAGGGGTCCCCAGCACAGGAAAGATGCAGAGCTGTTGGAGCAGGTACAGAGGAGGGCAACAAGGATGCTCAGAGGGCTGGAGCACCTCTCCTACGAAGAAAGTCTGAGGGAGCTGGGCTCTGTTAGCTTGCAGCTGCGTCCCTCACAGGCCTCTGCTCCATTGCTTGCATGAAGTGCTTCCCCCCCCTGCAGACAACAGTGCCTTTCCAATTTCTCCAGGTAATTTACCCTTCTTTAGCCACCGTTATAGTTTCTTCTTTGCTCTGTTCTCCAGTCTAAGTGGGTAAAAGAGATAATCCATGTAACTAAGCTGTTCAATAAAGCAAAACAATAAGGGAAGCTGTAGCAAACGATGTCTCCAAAATCTATCAATTGATTACTGGAGAATAACAAAAACCAGAACAGGTCTGAAGTGTCTCACAAGTAATTCATCAACTAGGGAGAAGTGTAGTTCTGATGAATTAATGGTTTGAAATAAATAGCTCAAGAATCTCTAAGGTAAATGAAGAACTTGGGATTCATCCTTGTAAACTGCTTTGTGTGAAAATTCTCTTTGGGTTGAGTAACTGAGTAAAAACAAACACTGTCTCAGGAGGAGGAGTATTCTCTTCTCAAGGCACGTATCCAGCTCTCCAGTGAGGTTAACTGTTCATGGAGAGGAGATGACTTGCAATGAATTTACAGTAACTCTGGAAATCATCCTGAACTATTTTTTCAGTTAATTACTAAACAAAATTGATTGTACATCTCATTATGAACACATTCTAATGTACCTTTGTTAATGGAAACATGAAAAGGACTAACAAGAGAAATATGATTAAAATGTTAAAACTTCAGATGTGAATTCCTTCTTGTTTAATGAGCACAATGGAACTATAAGCACAGTTGTGTGCATTATCACTTTATTTACTCTTTCCCTTTTTTTTCTTGCCTCTTCAATCTCACTTTCCCTTCTGGTGATAGTACTATCACATCACTTCCATTTCCATCATCCTCTTCCTTGGTATCTCTTGCATTCCTTCCATCTGTGCCTTCACATTTTCCCTGTGTTCTTAAGATGCCCCCTGCTGTCATGCTCTAAATTAGATATTCAAGAGAAAGATAAAACATCAAATGTTGGGTTTTTTTTTTTTTTTTTTTTTTTTTTTTTACACCAGCTTCAGTTTTGTACATCTTGTACTAAATGCAAGCTCATCTCTAATACTATTAAGCTACCTTCATCCACACACTTGCTGTTCCAACAGTTTTGTTTAAAAAAAAAAGATCTTGAACTGGGATACATAACTGTAATTCATGAAGAGCAAAATATACAGAGGAAGAAAAGGAAATTCTAAAAATTGTAATTACTCTGGCTCTGTACTTACAAAATCTATACAGAGTGGCATATTACAATACCTTTAATTTTATCTACGGATAACAAGATGCAAACTGTGTTGGCGAAAGCTGAAAGTCATACTGCTTGCCCTTGCTAGACAGGAATAATGAATATATACCCCAATGATAGAGATAGCTGCCAGATAAACAATGTCTTCTGAAGCTTCCTGGGAGCCACATTTTTAGGCAATGGTACACAATCTTCTGCTAACATGTGTTCAGATGAACTATTCAGACTTTCAACCAATTTTCAGTTGTAATAAAAAGAATCTGTTAAACTCGAGAACATAAGTGTCTCTCAGTAAATGCCATAGGAAGGCATAGTACTGTATCACAAAGTCCTTTTGTCAGGCTGTTAATAAGAACGAGATTACACAAAAAAGCACAAGCCTCTATTGGCATCCTTGGTATAGAGGGTCCCTCAAAGGAGAGAGCTAACGTCATCTTTGGGACTTCAGCAAAGCTGCATGTGATTAAAGTCATACTAAGTCTGTAAGGTATTATGAGTGTATTATGCTAAAAAATGGTGGCATAAGCTGAGAATTTTAATAGTGTTTTATTTATTTGATTTGTTTAAATCCCCGTAGTGTCCTACATTCCAGGCATTTAAGCATTGCTTTTTTTGTCCTGCCTTTGCAAAAACCAACAGTGTAACAAAACACCAAAGATTATGCAGGAGAACAACAACCCACAAGGGCACAACGACCCATGTTTTCCAGCTTGTGTTTATAAACGGTTGGAGTCGGTCAGATCCTCAGTTCAGGTGATGGAGTAAGACCTCCTTGCAGGCTTATTTTTTCCTTTTCATATGAAGGAGCAGCTCTCCAGCTGCTAGTCCCCATGTGCAAGCATAACTATTCTTGTGTTCTTTAGTAGAAATGTTGTTATTTGCGTACTCAGGAATAGCTCTTGCTGGAGCTTTGTAATTCTGCAACATGACTATGTGTAGCCTGGGGTCACTATCCCTGGTCCACCAGTTAGATTCATGCAACAGGAAAAAGGAACCAAAATGTCAAAGGTGCGTAGGTGGCACTGAGTTCAGCCAGCCACCATGACCTCATTCTGTGCTTCCCATACAGCATGGATCAGCCTCTGTCCTAAAATGACTACTCCAGAAAGTTGTTCTACATTGATAACTCAGTTTAAATTTGTTATGAAGAGTAGATATCTATCACCACTGTACCACCGTATTTGTTCATTTTAAGCAGGTCTTTTAATTCTCCTTATCTTTTCTCTGATGTTTATAAGCAGCTGTCAGTCTTCATTTACTACAATGAATGAGATAAACTAATCCTTTCCATGGAACACAGATGATTCAACCCTTATTTTATTAGCACATCAATGCAATTTGAGCCCATATTAAGCAGGAGGCCATTTTATCCACACAAGAAAACACTGGTGATTCCTCATGCTACATTCACATGCAATTAAACATTATCTCATGAAATCATTTTAAAACTCCTGACTTTCTGATGGCAATGTCTTCACTAATGTACCGTACTTTTGTTTGCCTCACTTTGCAACTTGGCTACCCTTTCACCAAGTGGTGTGCGCTGAACGTTTTGTTCCTCATTTGTTTTTCAGCTCATGGGAGAAGCTTTTGTTATTAGTTCTCAAATGACTGGGCTTGTGTTTAGTACTGCTGAATTCTGAACCACGTTATCCACTCCTCAAAGTTGCCTGATTCAGTCTTGACCTCAGATCTAGAGCAGTACCTATGCTAACCCTATCTTTGAAGTAATTTCTTTAGTATGTTCCCACTCAAGGACATTGATTTCTGCATTTTACTTCTACTTTGACTGCTGTAACGTCTATTTTCATACGTTTTGTTCCATTCCATTCCTGTTCTGCCTTCATCCCCAAACAATCATCCTTAATGAAAAATAAAATGTATTAATCCGGGATTTCCTTACTTGCTTCACATATTCTCTCTGTTCCTCCATCAGCTTTGCTTCTTTAGGTAGAGTACTCTTATTACCCAGCCAGCACACTTGATTTTGCTATCACCAGTAATCCTTAACTCTCAATGCTTTCTGAAAATGTTCACTTCAATAATGACCTCTTGTTCGCTGTGATTCAGTTTGTTCCTCTTCATTCCTCTAAGCCATTTCTTTCGAGTAAACTTTTCCAGAAGACTATGTTCTTTCCTTGGGAAAATACCAGACACTTCTTTATACTTTCTATTTTTTTCCAAGGCTTCCTCTTAGTTGTGTTACTTTATCAATATCTGATTTCTAAAATTCATTAATTTTCTTTGCAGAACAACTTAGATTTACTTTTTCATTTAATTTAAACTGAATCAATTATACCGAGAGCATAAAGATCAAAATGCTAAATCAAAAAAAATGTTTTCACCTATTGCTTTTTAATGGAGTTTAAAAATGCAACTGCAAATTATTTTAAAGTTTAGATTAAAAAAAAAAAAAAAATTGTATCCTATTTTGGTACTTTTGCAAGGCAATACAATTGGTTCATGCTTCCATCCTCTGCATTTGGCTTTCATCACAGCATTCTCTGAAATGAATCCCACTGAAATCAAAGATGAATGAATTAAAGACTGAAAGTCAGCATGTCTAACTACCAAGAAAACTGCAATGCAAAAGGATCAGACATCAGTCCAAGAGCTAACAAAATCATAATCTGTTACTGTGTACACATAGACACTAAGGGCTTTCTTTCTTAAACAACAGATAATCCAAGATGAATTTTCGAGCATACTGTAAATTTTACAATAAGTGTACTCACTAAACATGTTTGTTACTTTCCAGTTATAACTAAGGATTATTTTAAATGTGAGAACAAAAGATATTAAATACTTGTACAATAATAACAGCGAGTAATACAGAGGAAATATTTCAGGAGTAAGACTCAGTGGTGATTCAAATCTTTCATCTTTATATCAATTCTTTGTATTCAGCTGAGGTTGGCAGAGTGAGAAAACTTATTATCCAGTAATCTTAGTGAAATAACTAGGCGATCTCTTCTCTGTCAGCCAAATTTCAGCAAGCCAGAATGATTTCCTGCTCTGATCGTCCTAAAGCCAGGAAAAATTTCTTTTGTTCTTAGAAACTGTTGAGCAGACAGCTACTGATTTTATGAAATAATCGCCAGCCATTAATGCCCTTGAAAACGCAAATAGAGAAAGCAGGTCTAGTTGTGGAACAAAATATTTCCATGGTGATCAGAAAAAGAATAGACAGTTTAACAATTGCATAAAATGAGACCCCGCAGAGCTGCTCTAATATTTCCAGGTCCATGTCAAGTTTTTTGAAGACAAGACACCACTCTATTTTTGTCTAACTGTTCATTTTAGGGAGACCAAGAACTTCAGCTAGAACCACTTTAGATCTGAGTCACTGCAACTCAATGTAATGGAATGAGGGGATGCTTAGAGCAAAATGCATCCTTGTTTAAAAAAAAGAAAAAATAAGCTTCATTTTTCTCATCTATATTTTATAAACAGAAACAAGGGCTAATTGTACCTAGACTGTCATTAATTAGACGGACATTACAAAAAAACACCAAATGAAATGGAGAAAAAAAAACCTTCATACTGCACAACATTTAGAAACTACAGAAACTGAGTGACTTAGGAAGCTGCCACACGATGCATAAATCAAAGACAGTCTTACAAGTCATTGGCATGTTAAAGTCTGTTGCATTTTTTATAAAGCAAGGCCCTTGTGTAATGAATCTTAAGTTATAAAACTATGAAAAAGAATTTGTTATAAATCAAGCTGTCTTAGAACAGTTCTGAGGCAAAGACTCTTAATGGAGCCCAATGCTTGACACCTGAAATAATGTAGGTTTTTTTCCCCTTTATAAAGAGAGGTTTTGGTGCATGAATGTGTTCGAGTGAGCGCTTTGAAATTCTGCATTAATTTACAAAAAGTTCAGTGTGGATTAATCTGTAATTTCCATATGGAAGACAGCAAGTTTAGCATCATTCAGTTCTTGTTTTAAGAACCTTATATACAAGAAATATTTAGTCCTTATTTCCACATTTTAAAGCTTAATAACGTAATAATTCAGCACCTAAACAATTTCAAATCAGGCTGTTGCAACCCTGTTATCAAAAGCAAGTGAATGTCACTGTATTTTTTCTAAGCTTCACCTTTTGATTAAATTGGGATTAAATTATCCACAGAACTTGAAGTGGGAATGATTCTGGGCAACATAGTTCATCCACACTTAGTAAAATTATTATGCATGTATTGAAAATCTGCAGAGAATAAGGAATAAACCCAAAGAAAAGCATCTGATGTAATAGTTGGCATTACTTTTTCATTCCAAATTAAAGGTTTAAGTAAGATAATATAAGTAGGATTCAAATATCCCTTCCTGGTTTATATGGAACACTGTTGTTGGTTTACGAAAGAGAAGGAACGTGACTGGGGGACTGCAACAAATGTCCTCTTGGCTTTACACAAAACACCACAGAAGTTATCACCTCATCCAATCCTCTGCTAGCACACTATGGTCCTCCATATCTCTCAGCATTCTTGCCCAGTCCTCCTACCCATCTGTCACCCCCCTAGCAGCATCCCTCAGCTTCCACCACCCTGTCCCCCTGATAGCTGTTTGCTCACCTGTGCTGCTTGATGGGCTGAGTTCCTCTGTCAGGAGACAAAGCCTCTGGGAAAGACTGAGGACCTGAAAAGCTGGACTCCATGACTTTGTCCAGAGCAGGCCCAGGATGCCTATCTGTTTTGGAGTACTGTGGCACAGAGAATAAAATGAATTAATACATAAAATGCAAAATACATTGCTGATGTTATTCAGTGAGAACTGAAATCAATAAGAAGTACTTTAATTTAAAAATTAAAATCAGGAAGGGCAAGTAATACATCCATTCACTGCTGTTTACACAAGTGAAGAGCACCCAGGTTTGTTGTCCCCATTACCTTCTGCACATCAGAAACCCAAAGTCCACATTGGCAGCAAAATTACTGACTTATCTGCCCAGAACAAAAGGTAATGCAGACCCCTTTGAATAAAAACTTGCTTTTGTGACTGTCCATGCAGTGCCTGAGATCACAAAACACATCTCAGATGGCGTTCAGCACCTTTTTGTGTCCTTTGATGATTTCAGTCAAACACTCCCCTCATCAATATGCATAACTAGGAACACCACACTGAATAGCTTTTGTATCATCAGATAAGTAAGAAAAACATTTGAATCCTATCTGTAGAGCCAGACAACTCTGCTGCACCTGAAACTTCTGACCTGGGAGTATCTGTGCTAGTAGTATCAGTGTAAACATAATTCTTCTTGTGACAGTTGTGTGTGCAGGACAACCTCTGGGCACACAGTGTGACACAAAGGTCTGAAAAGCAGACACCAGATGTGAACAGGAATGGATGTTCCTCTTTTTGGTTTGTGATTCATCTGGAAATTCAGCAAAAAAAAACCCAAAAAACAACCAACTCTGACTCTGAATAGAGCCTGGAAGTCAAAGCATAAGAAGGGTGCATTTTGGTTTGAAAGAAGAATCAATGTTAGCAGCTACTGGACAGTAACTCAGAGGTACAAGCACTTAACCCACATTTACACATAGTTAAGAAAAATAGCAGAAAAAGAAACAGAAAAGAAAGATAACATTTCTGACACTGTGCTGAGATAAACTGCACTAAACCCAATTGGTCTATTCTTCTTCAATCCTTTTCTCTCTGCACTGAATTTGTACTTTTAGTACTAGGTAGCTAGGTTACCTTGACAATAAGCTGGTACCGTGGGATCTATTACATGATTAAATATTTTAGGTAAAAATATAATGTATATTATATAAAATACAGTGGTAAAATAAATGCCTTGCAATTTTACAACAGCATAATCATTTGTGAAGGAGACAGTAAGATTTCTGTCATGGTACAGTTCTTCCCCATAATTATTTTGTTGTCTAACAAAAGATCAGGTGAGAACTCCTTAAAAAGGAGGAGTTATTTCCTGATTCCCCTTTACTATAATTATCTACATTTCCCAAGAGTTTAGAAACTAAAAAGGAAAGTCTCACAAGACTACTCTCTTCTAACCAGTTTCAGAGCACGTTCACAGAACGTCTTGAACTGCTTGTGACCAATTTTCTGTTGATGAAAAAAAACCCACAACAGATCTTCCAATTTTTCTCTTAAGTTATCTCTTCCCTCTCTTCCTGTTGTGCAAAATACCCATAGGAAAGGGGCCAAAATAACTGCTTCAGAGCGTTGGAAGGCAAAGCGGTGAAAGTGGCAATATGTAAAATGTTACTGCACACAAACCAAACACAACTGAAATAATAAGAAGAAACATATTCCATTTGTTTTTCTTCCAGTTACAATGATCTTAGCTGTCATTTGTCACTACTGTAGATGAAGCATTCAGATGGAAGCATGTCTTTTAAGGTGCTGTTTGTGACAGTTTTAAACTTCAATGTTTCTTCTGCCAGCTGCAGCAATGACACTGATTTCTGACCTGAATAAATCAATTTGAGCTATGGGAAGAATGAGTTGTAAGCATTAGGAAGGTATTTCTGTCCTTTTTCATGTTTGTTCGTGATATTAAATTGAAGACCCAAATGGCTTTAAAGGACCACGAGCATGAAGTGAATCACAGAGGTTAAGCAGGGATGAGCTATGCCTCTCACCACATCTATGGTTAAAGTGAACATGGGCTGGGGGGGATCACACACACAAGAGCATCTTTGCTCATCACAGTTGAGGGAGAACAGGGTCCCCCCATGAGCTGCCCAATGCAATCCCAAATATTTACTGCCCAGGCTCAGTTTGGCTCTTTCTTCTTAATCAAATATTTATTTCATGACATTTCCAGATCCATCGCTCACTAATCATCTCAACAACCACAGTGTCAATTACACTGATATCACAATTTCAACTGAGGGTGCAAATATACAGAGAATTTGAACGATCAACAGAATCAATTTTATTTAGTTGTAGCACATTCATAGAATTAAACACAGTTGGGTTTACTCCTTTCTAGCTTAACCATAAATGCCACATCCCTTCTCTGAGACAGCCTTTGGAGGAAAAAATCAGAATCCTGGGAGAAGTTTACAGCAGCATCTAGCAGAGCTCCCATAGCGGGATGGGGGACTGCCACCCAGCTGTGTCCCAGTGGAAACAGCCCCACTGCCCCCAGCTGTCAGCCAAGCTGCAAACTGCAGAGCCCTCTGCTTGCTGTGAGCTGCTAAACACTTAACCACTGCAGGGGATAAGCTGTGAAGCACTGTCAGAGTACTGTACTGCTCTGGGAGGTTGAAAGCATCCCCTGAAATCTCATCTGTCTCTGGTGGTTCTGTTTTGTTTTTCAATGGTTTTATTGTCTTTTTGGTTCATTATGCATGCTTCTTTGAGCTGACATAAAAGAAACGTTGTAAATGTATAAGGCTAAATAAAATAAAGAATAATTAAAGCATTTAAAAATAAAACGTTTTGCAAAGTTCAATTTCTTCATGGTTTCACAGAGAAAATCATCTGTTATGTGCAATTACTCTAACTCTTTGACAATAAAATCTCACCCACTACTAGCTAACGCTAAATGAGTCTGCAAGAAGTCACCCTCTGCCACTGACCTGCTGTATCACTGTGAGTATTTCCCTGCCTGATGCCTCCGATTATTCTTTCTTAAATTTAGGATCCACAGGTGACAAATGCCTCATAAGTGCTATACAATAGCCAGACACTGTTATCCTATGGTTAAGCAAAACAGAACAACCCCCTCCATCTCTTTCTCCTTGATGAATATCTCTCAAATAGTAAGAAAAAAATAAAGTTCAGATTTGCGTCTACATTGAAAGAGAGGTGATGTGGGGTTGCCATTTCAAAAAGGACTGGGAAGGCAGAGAGTATCAGATTTCCATTACATTCAGAGAGGTGAAGAACTAATGCCACGTTTGGAAGGGCTGGCCTTGCTCCACCAGCCTATCTGCTGGAATACTGAGCGTCCTTACAGCTACTCCCTGTGCTCTGCTGCCAGCACTCTAGACAGAGGCCAGCAAGCTCAAGTTTCTCTATTATGGCAGTTCTTCTGAAGTTGTGAAAAGTTATTGAACTGGGAAATCTGGTCCTGATCTTAGCTGATAAATCACATCGCAACTCAGACAAAAATACATGCTCATCTTTGAAAAGAGCTAAATGCCTTTGTCTGGTATTCAACATATATTAATTGCATTTCTATCACAGTGATTAGGTTTATTTACTATATGGTATCAACAAGTCACGAAAAGAAACTTTGTCCTCTTGTTATAATATCAGAAGCTTGTGATTGCAAGCTGCTAGGAACAAGTGTAGTGAGAAGTGAAAGCACATGCTACAGCATGAAAAGCATATTAGGCACCTCAGAGGGGATGTGATGGGGAATTAATAGATCCACTTAGTATCACACAAGAAGGTATTAAATGCCTTAAGGATGAAAAAAGCTATTTTGAACAACCATGCCAACTGTCAGAATCACAAAAGGAATGGCAAGTCTGCTGCTGCTTTTGTTGCTGGTGTTCTAAAGCTAAGAGAATTTAAAGAAATTCTGTAATCAAGGTGTAGAAAGGAGGCAGTAAACACCAGGAGACACCAAGCTTTGTGATCTGCAGAGTAACGTAAGTGCAACTGGGACATGTCCTCCTGCCTGTGGGTGGTGTATAGGGTGCAGAGAGTGTTTGCCTAAGAAGTGCAGCTGAGCATCCTGACTTGCTTATGTATGATGACGGAACCATTTGCTGCAGGTTTGTGGACCACATTCAGTAAATATCTCTCAAAGATTATACAATCTCTTTGGGAAGATACAGGTAATACTAAGAAGTCCCAAGCTTCATGCACATGGTAAAATAAATCTTAATCTCCTGTGTAACTCAAAGATCCTCCATTACGAACTTGCACATAACCCTCTTCCTGTCTGAAAACTTATTGCAAGATTATCAGTACATTTGCATTCATAAAGAAGAAAAATGGTGTACAGAAAATGGGGTAACTACAAAAAGAACATAGGAGACAGGAGCCTGAACTTTTGTCAAGCAAAATGTGGAAACAGTTCTCCAAATTCAAGCTCTCTGACAACCTAGAAAGAAAATGCACATTGCTGTAAAATTATTTGGGAAAAGGAGTATCCTTGAAGGAAATTGCAGAGAAATACTAATAGGCTAATAGCTCTGTTCAAACTGTTGTTTATGAATCCTGCTTACAGAATACCGTATTATTTATCTAATTGGAGTCCTTTATTGTATGATGGAATCAATACTGAGAGCCCAGGTGAACACAATTACCAGCTCTGAACAGTAGGAATTCACAGGATAACAACTGAACTGAGAAAGGAAGTGGAAGAAATGTAATAGACTCAAATGCAGGAAGGAAAGCATACGATGCTTCAAAATATTTCAGATGTCAATACAAACAGAAAGCTTTATTCCCTGTAACACTGTAATCCAGTGGTAGGGAGACATCTACATTTTGGCTTAAACCTCTAAAACTCCTTGCATCCTTCCTCAACCCTGGTGCCAGCCAAGGAGGGTGAGTCTGCACATGTTCACGTTAAAGAGCCGTTGGTTGGCTTTACAAAGAGCTAAATCTTTTCATGAGTAGTTCAAGCTGGTTAGAATTGATAGAATAGCAAACCCAAACTCCTCAGACACTTTCCTCTTTGTTTATGCTTACACTGAATTATTTGGGCAGTATCCCAATGCCAGCTGTTGGATATGAATGTGGTTGCAGTAGCTCTCCTCAACTAAAAAGGACTAACTGTGCTGCTAGAAGATGGAACGACTTGTAAACGGTTCATGCTTGGCTGAGGCACAGCACTCAACCTGGAACCTGACAGCAAGCTTGTGGTCTGTACCAGATGGGTCTATTCTTTCCCAACATTTTTGTAGCACTGTATTCCGGCATCATTCATTCAGGATACTTCTTAGTGGCCCCAAAAATCTGAATAGTATGCTCCTAGTGTTTACCAGAGCTCTTGAAGTACAGTTGCTGCAGACCTTTACCAGTTCATATACTTTCTGTTCCTCAAAGACTTTCTGGGAATGCTTTCAATAAACAGTTAATGAGAAGAAGCATAAAGCCACATCTACACCTCATTGTAGCAGAGACCACCTAGCAGCTGTCACAAAGGCTTTAACACTACTCACGCTGCTTGACCTATACTATGTCAAGATATGGCCGCCACTCTTCCTCACCTGTTTTTATTGTTTTATTCCTCACCTGTACTGATCAGAGAATGAGCAAAATGAAACAAAAGACTGCAACTTCTTAAAGTAAGGCAATTCCAAAAAAACTCCTTTTCATAGCCACCCACCTCCATTTTTTTTTTCCTGACTACTCTGTTGTTTGACTTGAATAGCTGATCCAATTTCCTTAAAAAGAGCAAGAGCAACCTTTCCACCATATGGATGTTTAATGAACCTGGGAGAAGGTCCACTTCCAATTCATTTTTCACATACTGGCTTTTGAAATAAGGATTGCCAAACAAGGCAGCCCATATCTTAGGACAGAACAGGAGAAACGTTTTAAGATCAAACATTCAGAGCTTTTAGCATTGTGCATAGTTTTTATTGTAAAGAAGCTTAAATTGGCATAGAGGTGAGGTATCACAGGGACAAAAGTTTTTTTTTGCATTCCCTTTTGCAGCAATCCAAACAGCTACAAAAATAAAGAGTAAAATCAGAATAAAATGTAAATTTATAATTTTAATAATTTGTTCAAAAAATGAAATCTGGTAGGTTTTTTTTTTTTTTTTTTTTTTCCCCTGCTTTTAACAGCAATCCTGATGCATTTACATAGATTCTCTCATTTAAAGAGATTCAAAACTGACTTTCAAATGAAGTAACAACAATTAAGTCTTTTGCTGAAGTCCAGTGAAAGGTAAAAAGAGAAAAAGAAATAATGAAATGATAGCACTTCACGGAGTTTGGTTGAGTTCTTTAATGCCCCAAAACACTAGAAACACTACCTGCTACATGTAAAGCTTCCTCCTAGAGAAGTGCAACGTTTAGAAAGATCTGTGCATCCACTAGTAAATGTAGTAACCTCTGCGTTCAAATGCAAGGGCTCTTTTCGAATAGGCATTAGAATTGTCATCAAGAATAATCGTAGATTCATAGAATGACAAGCTAGTTTCAAAGCCCTGCTATGTGCAGGGTCACCAACCAGCAGACCAGGCTGCCCAGAGCCACATCCAGCCTGGCCTTGAATGCCACAGCCTCCTTGGGCAACCTGTTCCAGTGCCTCACCACCCTCTGGGTGAAAAACTTCCTCCTCATATCTAACCTAAACCTCCCGTCTCAGTTTAAAACCATTCCCCCTTGTCGTATCACAATCCACCCTCATAAACAGCCGTTCCCCCTCCTCTTTATATGTTCCCTTCAAGTACTGGAAGGCCACAATGAGGTCTCCCCAGAGCCTTCTCTTCTCCATGCTAAACAAGCCCAGTTTCCTCAACCTTTCTTCATAGGAAGAAAGGAAAAGGAATAAAGAAAGGATCAGGAACGTTATGCAGTTGTTTTCAGGTTTGAACTAATACAGAGAATAGAAAGCAGGCAAAAAAAAGAAAAAAAAGTGAAAGCATCACTAGGTCTATTATGAATAGGAAGTAGAAAAATAAGGGAGAACCTTTCAGGGAAAGCAAGGAGGACAGAACATAAGCAAGACAGATTTCCCATATAAGAGGAGGACATGGATTAAGAAAAATGAGGTTGATAGGATTTCATAAAGCAAAACCCCTGAAATAACATCCTTCATTTTCTTAAGTTTCTGTATTCGTCCCTGGAAATATGTAGAACCAAGGTTTCTCCCCAAATCCATGGGGTGCTGCAGATGGGAACCTCATAGAAATCACCTCCAGAGTGTCTGCAGCACCTCTACAGAAGTGAGTCCTAGGAAGCTGCCCACCAGCACCTGGTCTCTGCCTTACCCTGCAGATACACACAGGGCAGATTCCTGGGCTCTGATGCAGAGACACGCAGACACTCCTAAGCAATACCATTTCAAAGTCCTTATCTGCTCTCTCGTCAATTCCTCCCCCTCCTCTGGTTTTGCTTTTCTCCAATCTGCCAAGATTTGTAAATATTTCATTAACTGCCTACTTGCATTCCTGCAGTAAAATCTTTCTAACAATAGAAACCATTCTTGTCCTGCACAGTTACACTACATACTGCACAAGGTCATTCTGCATTTCTTTCTTAGTATTTTTGCTCCCAGAGGAAAAATGCACTAATAGCAAGGATAAAACTGCTCCCTTCTAGTTGCTACAGGAACTAGAAAATGGTGTGTTAATTACCAGCACTGAGAGCTCTAGTTTGAACAGCATTAAAAGCAGAAAAACAAATCTGGCCTAAAATAAAGAATAATCGTGTCTTTAAATCTCTAATATTTGGAATCCACAAATGGCTGCTCAGTCATTATAGCTATTGTTATGGCAAAAGAAAATGACTTAAAGCTTGAGGATGTGTTCGTCAGATGCTGAGAGGACACCAAATAGTTCTTTGTGATGACGGGTTGAGAAAATATTGCACAAATATTTGTTTAACTCAAGAGCCAGGCAAACGACACCATCTGAACTGCCTACCTTGGGCACTAGTGAGCATGCCTAAGTTTAGGTCTAGGTTCTGAATTACAGAGAAAAAGAGTGAAAAAAGTGTTAACCACAACCCAGTTTGCATGTTAGAACAAAAGAATCACAAAAGCTTTTTGCAAATTTAACATTTATTGTCACCATCACAAGGCAGCAACACTCCTAACAGCTTGTTTTAAGGGCAAGAAGTAAAATATGGCTGAATTAAATTAAATTTAAACAAGGAACTACGGAAGGCCTCCTAAACTGTCAGTGTCCATTTAGTGAAGCCACCTTCCCCTCTGATACAGTGAATTTTACCTGAATCACAAAACGTAACAACCATCACAACAGGGCTCCTAAAAAAAAAAACCTCTGGTGACCAGTGCTCTAACACGCGCTCTTCTGTCACAGCCCAGAGGCTCAGCTCACTCCAGACTGCTTAAAAGGGCTTTCATTTGATGTAAATTAGGAACACAGACATCTGTGGCTAAGAGGACTTGAGAGCTCACTTTTGCTTGACTCCCATTATTTTGATGGAATCTGGCAAACAGAGTAGTTCCTTGAAACAAAGCTGATGACACTTTGCTTGATATTTCTTAATACTCAAGTTGAGATTTTCATTTGTTTATAAGAATTTACCATTTAGAAAGGATTCGATACACCTCTCACTGTCTCCTGTAATACTGCAATTTTGGCCTCGCTAACAACATCATTTTCAGTTGTTTCAAAGCACCAAATGTGTATGAATGGGAGGAAGAAAACAGCATGCATTAGAAAATAATGTGCATCATGGGCTAAATATATCAGTTGTCTTCCACTTCCTTGTTTAAAATTAACTACATATTTCATCATTGTGGGATTCTATTAACTCACGTATAAAATATATTCAGAACATGACTAAATACATTTCAAACATAGTTTGAGCAGATTGCTTTCTACTATCAGAAGCCCCTTTGTTTAACTCAAGAGCCAGGCAAACGACACCATCTGAACTGCCTACCTTGGGCACTAGTTAGCATGCCTAAGTTTAGGTCTAGGTTCTGAATTTACTCTGAATTAACTGTGTCTCATCTCTACATTTTTTCCCTCAGATCCATTAATGTGCTGTACTGAAAAATTCAAAAATCATTCAAGATTTAAGTCCCCCACTTCACCTATAAACCATACTTGTGAACTAAGGTACAGGGAAATGCTCAGATAGACACTTTCAGTGTTGAATACATTACTAGGGGGCTCAGCAAACTCTACTGCAGGATCAAAATGCCCCATGGCCCATTGAAATAACTCTTCTTAAAAAAATCCCTGCTTGGTGTTTTCCATTAACTGTCCTGATTAAAAAAAAAAAAAAAGAGAGTTATGAAAGATGAGAGAATTCTTGTTCCCATTGCTCAGATGCTAATAGCAACATGGTGATGTTCTGCCATAGGCGGCAGGAGTGCAGCCAGGCTATTAAATGTTGTAGCTGGCAGGATTACTTACATTTTGCAGCTGGACTCGGCTTTGTGCCATACACTCTGACTTTGCCATCATGCTAGAAGCATTTAGGCTGTAGGTTTTCCTATTCTGCGTTTCTTTCAGCTGTTCATGAATTTGCTTTGTTTGTTTCCTGCAGAAAGAAAGAAAATTCATGTAAGAGCGAGCTAGTTTCAACTCCTACTATAGCCACAACATGTATATAACTAGGGGTCCTTTTTTTTCCCAAACTTCACCACATTGGAATAACCGGCTGCATTAATTCACCAGTGTCTAATATTTCAATGCAGCGGTCATTTTCTGGAGAAGCTGAACAAAAGAAGAAAAGAGCTCTTCTCTCAAAAATGTCTTCTATTCTCAGATTACTACAATAGCATGCTGGCTGTTTTAGCACAAAAATTTGAAAGAAAGATTATCTACAACATATTTAACAATTGCAAGTAGGCCTGGATATTAAAAAAGCATTTTGCTCAGATTTGGAACAGAGATTTTGGCAAATACAGCAGCATTTGTCTCTGTTTGTTATAAAATGTGTGACAGAATCAAACATTTCTGCTAGCAGCTCATTAGACTTCACCTACTATCTTGCATACATCAGCTTTTGCTTACATGCTTTAATCTAGAAAAAAGCATCAATAGTGTATCTGAGGCTACTTTTGACATATTACACTATGATCCACTATGTCACAGTTGACAATGCCTCTAAGACAAGTCATTTGCAATATTCAAGAGATAACTATATGATTAAAAACAGCTTTCTCTTTCTGCCGTATTATACTGACAAACTGAGTTCTAAAGTTCTACACATTATTGTGGATTTCAGGCAGAAAGCTCTATTTTAAGGAAGTATTTTATCCTCTGCCAGCAGATAGAGCTCAGTTAAGCAAATACAGTCAGCAGAATATATTTGAGGCCTTTAATCGGAGACTGCTCTTTGGGAAAGATACACTGTTGGAGTTCTAAACGAGAAATAAGTCCCCACTCCTAGTTTAATTCTTTCCTTCCTACTTTATTCTCCTCAGCAGATGCACTGCATGCAGCAATCCTACAAAGACCTTGGAGCCCACCCAGCAAGGTCAAGGACTGGCCAGCAGCAGCAGCCCTGCTTCGCTGTGCTATGCACAGCTTCTGTACAGCAGCTGATGCTGAGCCAAATTTCAGCAGGCAGCGAGTGATTTTTAACATTACAACTGAGATTCTATAAGGTAATATACGAAGAAAAACAATTTAATAATTAGTTTCCCTTTAATGTTCATGTAACCTAACGCTGATGTTAGGTTTATGCATATTCATTTTGTCAAAAAATAGGATGCAGGATTATAAAACTTGAAATTAATAATTTAAAGTTACTGCTTAATATATTTATTTTGTATTTTTAGTCTTTAAAACAAATGAGTCTTCTGTGTTTTACTTCACAGATATTCTGCAATAAAGTATTATCTTGGCAAGAAAATGAAGTCACTGGTCATCTATAAAATCCTAAGCTATAAAGAGAAGCCCATTGCTTTTTACTGTGGTCTCCCCTCTGTTGTTAACACTTAAGAGTAATTTCTTTACTACTGTGAAATGAAAAATTGAAAAGGCATAGTGTTTAGTTATAAAGTTCTAACTTGCCCAGAGAGAGTATATTTTAAAGGATTTTTAATACACTGTATAGAAAATCACATACATCTAGCAGCAGGTATTATACAAACATCAGGATGAAGAAGTCAGGGTCTGCTTCTTCAAATAAACTTCCTTTTCCCTGCCAGATTGTGCACCATTCAGTTTCCCTAGATGTTAAGTAATATTTGATAAAAGTTAAACAAGAAGATCATCCCCCAGACAGGAGGAATGCTTGGATAACCTGCAAGCATGATGGAGACACGTCTGCATGATGAAAAGATCTGAAAATCTGTTGTGCTAACACACATCATGGTTGATTCATTTTAACTTTGCTGCTTCAGCCTTAACTTCGCTTTTATACCCTTGAGACACTGGGCAGCATCAGAGATACAATAATGTTTTATGCGGCCTCTATGCAACCCAGTTCAGGCACTCTTGTGTGGGCCAGGAGCTTCACATGGGTGTTCAGACCAAGAGGGATCATGCTTTTAGAGGGAGTGTCCCAGGCTGATCTGTACTGAGGTGAGCCTGGTATGCAACCATGGTCACCTGCTGAAGTTTGAGTCAAGGCATTAGCAGAAAAACAACATGCAGACTGATAATTAGTTACTGACTCTTTCCAGGCTTTTGTGGGAATGGTGCTAATAACAAAAAGGGAAAAAAACCTCATGAGCAGTGAAAACATTTAAGAAATCAATTTGAAAGGCAAGAGAAATTGCAGTGCTACTTAACTTCTATAGCTTTTGACATCTCCAGCTATTTCTGCATAGCTACAGCATTCCCATCTCCTGCCTTAGACTGGGCAAACTCTACTACCTCACCTGCCTGGTCGTCATAGATTCGGTTATCTAGACAACGAACAGGCATGCTAACTTCCTGTGAAGGCAGGGACAAAGCAGTGAAAAGGCTTACTTTCTGGACAGTTTGCAAGATGGGACCACAATCAAGCACTTAGGGATTAGTATGCTAACACTGCTGTGCTTCCTATGTTTGAAAGGACCTCTTGACAGAACTGAAGGTGCTCATTTTCTCAATACTCCTCAAATTTCAGATTCCAGAATCTGGCATGAGTAGACTTCAATTCTTCTCAGTAACTCCTAACTATCAGTTAAAACCAATAATAAAACACTAACCTGAGATAGGAACCACTACAGTCCTCTGAGTGCAACTTTGATGCATTATTTCTACTCATTATTTTTAAAAATAGCTGCCACACCACAGAATTCCCTTGGTTTATGTTCCTGTCATACTCTAGCTCGAAAGAACAGTTAAACAGAATCCCTTAAGTCCTTAGAACAGGTAAGGGGGGTTAGAAAAAAATGAACCAGGTCCAAGTCTTCACTCAAATCATGTGCACAATAGTGCTGAAATTTGTGCAGAAAGGGGAAAAAAATAAAAAGGTCTGGTGATTTTTCCAGTGTGCATTTCTCCTTTTCCTGAGAGAAAGCTCGAAACATTTTTTTTCCTGCAGAAAGTAGTTTTTGTCAGATTTCCTTCCCATTAAAATAAATTTATGGTCTGTGTGTATTCAGATAAGCATCCAACTTCTAAATTGTAGAAACCTCCACATTCTTAATACTCAGCCACCATGGCTAACTTCATGCAGATAATATTTATATTGATGCATGTTTTCTCATTAGCTCTAGTTTGAACAGCAATGAAGGATGATGGTCATACAGAACATATTTATAAATGCAGTGGCGTTAACAAGCACATCATGTAATTGCCATGAGGTTTGTGTAGTCAAATTACACACACAGCAATAAATACTAAAGATAATGTCCAGTGGAGGAGATAAAGAAAAATAAAATGAAAAGCATTTTGCTTGAAAAAAGTTTAGTACAGATGATTCCACCTTAGTTATACAGTTCCACATCCTTGTGAACTACAAATACTCAGTTATGCAGCTCACATCATCAGTTTACAACTCTCAGCTAATGGCTGCAGTTATCCACAAGGAACTTGACTGTTCACACATTGCTAACTTTTGCCTTTATTACCAGCATACAGAAAAAAGAGGGACATTAAGGAAAACAAAATGCAGAACATAAACTAAAAAAAGGTATCATAAACCTTTAGTTTTCAAAATAAGGAAGTGATTAATGCCAATTATTGTCCAGAGAAAGGAATACAAGGGACACAATCTCTTCTTTCCTGGTATAGGAAAACAGAAAGGACATGTAATACTTGTTTGTGTGCATGGCTTTTTGTTTTGTTTTGTTTTCACTTAGATGTTCTAGCCATGGAGAACTGTTCTAACCTGTCTGGAAATAACAACAGCTTCAAACAGAGGGGAGAAACTGAAGAACTGGAAAGTCGTAAAAAGGACAGAAGCTGAAAAACAAACACTAGACAAAGGCTCTTACTTTGTTTTGAAGTAGAACGCTGCACAAAGCATGCCCACTACGACTATGCCAAAGACGATACAGGAAATAGACAGCACCTGGCGCTGGTAAATTTCTTCGCTCTCTGTAAACAGCAAAATTGAGAATTATGAAGGCATCAGAAAACAGTACTTGTAAAAAGTGGATTTCTGTACAACATGGTTTCACCAGTGATGGACAAATATGTGAGATTTTGGAGTTCTGAGTTGTCCAGTTCCTCAACAGAATGTTTCTCTGAACCTCTCATCTCGCAGAGGTATGGTCTCCTAGGAAAGTTTTACAAAATGGTCGCCAAACACATTCAAAGATACATAAGCATAAAAATCGGGGAAGTTTAACATTTTCTTTGCCCTATATGCCCCGTTCCCGCTTTTTAGAAGATCATGCTTCCACTGTCAGTGGAATAAAGAGCCCTACAACCATGGAGCTTAACTGGCTTAAGGCAAGATCCATCAGAGCTCTCCCGAAGTCCCACAAGACTCGGGAGTTCATTTTTAGCTACCAGAAAAATGTCAGGTTTTTTTTTTTTTTTTTTCTTTTCTTTTCTGATAGCATGGTTATTCTTATATAGTGAAAACATCAATTCAACCAACTTTGGATTCCAAAGACTATTACGTCACAACGCATCCTGGAAATCTCAATTTTCTGAAGTAATTTCGTTAATAAATCTCATCACCTACCAATTGATTTCAAAACAGGAACAGAATGAATTAAAAAAAAAAAAAAAAAAAAGAAGAAAAAAGCTAAGAAAACAAGAGGAAGATCTCATTCATGACTACAGACAGATGATGGGCAAATGGAGTTTCACATACTGAATTTATCAAGAGCTCCTAAATATTCTATTATATTTTTATTAATTCTACCACTTCTATAGTACAAACTGTTGTAAGATTGTTGTTTCAGAGTCACTTTCCCAAAACATATAGCACATAAAGTAATCTTTTCATTCATGAGTTTGAGGTAGAAAACCAACATGGAGGATTATCAAAGCACAGTACAAGCTCAGTACTGGTAGAGCTACGTTTCCTTTCTAAGTCAGAGATCTTCAATGCAGAACCTCTGTAAACATGGATACCAGACTCATGTGTTAAGTGGGTTTACAGCATCTCCATATTCTAAGTGTGCAAAGCTCAGGGTTCTAAGAAGAAAGAATGTATGACAACAACAAGATTAAACTGGGCAAATATTGGAAAAATCATAATCTAACTGGAACTTCAGTTAAATACTGTATTTATTACAATGACTAAATACTACGTACAGTGTCCTCATCAGTACTAATTATTTATTACCCAAGCAAAAAAATACACAGACTACTCCATTGCCATTTCTAAACACTTGGATTTTTCCAGAACAATTTGTCTCTAGCAAAAGTCCAATTTCCCTATCATAAGCTGTTTCAAAAAAAAATTACAAGTAGCAAACATTTGTTTCTTAATTACTTCTTTACTTGCTCACTCAAAAAATAATATAGTGATTAAGAACTCATTTCTAAGATGCAAAACATCCTCAGCTCCTGTTGACTTTTCTTCCTCATTTAGTTTTGAAATTCTAGATGTTGTACTGTTATGGTACTATTTTAAACATAACAAGAAGCAAATATAGTAACCTAGGAAGTCTGAAACATAGCCAGAAATGTAATTCATTAGAAAACATTGGTAATATAGCAATAAAATAGATTTCATCAGAGCTTTAATTCTATTCCTTACAGCATGAATATAATTTGGATCTAGACTGTAAATTCCTATAGCAACCAACTACGGATTCCTGTTCCTTGTTTTTCACTACTGTGCATAAATACAGAGCTATCCACCTTCCATTTCCACTACGGTGCTCATAGGACTGATCTTATGCATTTCAAATCACTTTGTCAGGGTGAGCACACTGCAAATAGTTAAGAAATTATTCAGCTTCACAACTGTCAATCTATTCTGACTCAACACCAATTTCAGCACGTTCTGCCTAAGATCACAAATAAAACATACATACTTACAAACAGTAATTTCACTCAGACACTGCATATAATTAAAAAGAAACAGATGTAAGTCTTGTGAAAAAAAGACCTACTTTTGCTTTTCTGTCAACTTAGGTGTCCATTAAAAACTTTATTGCTTTTGTTGTTTTGTTGAAACTATGAATTTCATATGTCCATGGTCTTTCGTCAGTTCTGAATAGCTACCACAGCCTTGTTAAAGATGCTTTAGAATACATTTTACCAAGATAAAAGCACTTCAGAGACTGGACAATATTATCCTGCCCAAGCCACTATGTGAAGATTTAAGTCTTTGTGGAGACTGTTTAATCCCTGTCATGTCACTAGCTTTCAAGACATTCTGATCAATGCTTTCTTTACTTTCTGTTTATTCCGTATGGCACATATTTAAAGAACCAGTTATTGATTAGCTTAACTCCATTAGACACCTTTGTTCATTTTTTTTATATCCTTTAAATCTGTGTTTATGTATTGGACTCCATTTTCCATCTCAAACATCTTAAAATATAATCAGTTTAGCATTTTTCTATTCTCAAGTCTTCCACATCCTTTTTGTTTTTCCTTTAAAAACAAATCAAAGCCCTTCCTTTTGACAGAAATTTAATCTGAATCTCCCTGAAAACTTCGAAGGTCTCCTCATTGTTGACACGCTTTAAGTCCACCATTGCCCTGAACTTGTACAGTACAACTGAGCGCTCAGAAGCTGAGGTGTGCAAATGAGGGCCCTTGAACCTAACACATGATAAGCCAGAGAGCTTCAGCAGAGTGCTGCTGAGTGCTCTTGCTCTCACAGAACAGAACACCAATGAAAATAATGTGCAAAAAAGAGAACCAAAGATTACTTCTCCTTAGCTGTAGATGCATCAGCCTACACAGACGCACGTATTCACACACTGTAACAAACTACCCAAGGTAATATAAATTGTGACTCAAATTATTAGATGTCTCTCTCTACTGATAATTATTCATACATTCCTGGTGAAATAGACTATCTTGATTACATTTTATTGAAATAAACATTCTAGGGAGAGATTCCTCATTTAATTAACAGGCAAGAAAACGATGCAGCTAAAAACCCAAACTATATGCTGATGTTGATATTCTTGGATAATCCAGTTAAGAATGCAGAACAGTATTTCCATTCAGCATTGAAATTATACACATACCAACAAACATAAACCAGCTGAACAATAAAACAGTGAATTGATTCGACTATTTTGTTTAGTGTAAATTATGGAAAGAATGATCCATTAAGACAAGACAAACTCATGTGGAGCATTAAGTCCCTCAGGACAGGTTCCTGTAGGCAAATCCTCATTCACCATGTACACCATTTACATATCCAGCCCACTTTTATTTACATAACTGATTCTTTCTCGTCTTCATTGCCACAACAAACTTAACTCACCTTTCACCTTGCCCCTTTCATCATTCTCAGCTTGAATTCAACTTCTCACACCTTTACTACTAAGCTTATTTCACATATTTGCTACTGTTATGAAATATAAAATTGACTATTGGTGACCCATGAAAGCAATGTTTCTTCTAGTGATCACACTGCAGTCAAATTTAACCTGTCACTGAAAAAAGTACATGTCATATTCCAGGTGTTGTGCTCCCTTTTGATTCTCTTGCTCTTTAAAATTTACTCTTAAAGGCTGTCCTCTCTCTGCTTTATGCATATGGAAAGACCTGCTGAAGAATGCACATAAAACTTCAGAGGATAAAATGTGTAGGACAGACATTTTTCTCATGATTGCTACTTCTGAAGAATATAGTGCTTTGGTTGTCTAAGTAAGTTGAAACATGTCTCTCCTTTGTAACTTTGCTATAAAAGAATAGGGGTATGGGTTCCTTGAGAAAGAACTACATGTATTTCTATCCATATGACTGAGGAAAAAAAAAAATCAGCTAACAAAAACAGATTAATGTAGACTTTGTTAGCCTAACGTACAACACCATTACCAGCCATAATCAGTTGATCCTCTAGTTTTATTGTATATTTTCTCAGTTCATTGAAATAATTTTGAAAGTTATTCCAACTATAAAGAACTGTGCTGGCCTAGTGAAAATTATAACAAAATACAAATAGTGACTTTCATATACCTCAGTAGCATCATTTGATATTTAGAAAATTACTGGTGTCCTGTATCCTCAGAGGACCATATAGAAGTCTTCTGTACAACAAAAGAGGAGGACTGCATGGAAACTCAGTGCACATTGAGATTTCCAATGAAGCATGGATTATCACAAATGAAAAGGCAAATGATTAGTTAAGAGCATATTTCCCAATATACTTAGATTTATATGTGACAAATACTGAACTATGTAAGGCATTCTAAATATAATTTATGAAGAGAATAAAAAAAGACTGCAAGTTCCACAAAACAATCTGTGATTGCCTCAGCATCAGACTTTCAGCTCTCCCAAGAGTTTTCCCTGTTCTTTCACTTGCAAAAACCTGCCACACAGACGCACTGCCATATGCTGTGGCTTGTTCTAAGGCAGAGTGATTTAGCAGTTAAAATACGACAAGCCACAGTTCAAAAATTTCTTTGACCTTGGGTAATTCAAGAGCCTTACATCTTCTATAACCATGAGGATAATGCTTCCTTCTCCTGTTTCAGAGTTTAATATGATAAACATCTCAAACTCAAAAGGAAGAAGCCAATGAAAATAAATAAAAAACAGAAAAACCTATCCCAGCTAAGTCTGCTCCAATTTCATTAAGAGCCTACGTGCTCTCACATAAAATGTGAGAAAAACCTTATTCTAGTTCTCAGATATCTTTCTTAGTCATTGAGTTTTCTTCCTTCAACTTGTGTCTGGGTAGAATTCTCTTCTGGAAGGGCTTCAGAATACTTCAGTTCTCAAGTAAGGAACGGAAGTTTGTACCCCATATCACTTACAGAAAGGCCGTGTCAAGGTTAATTGCACAGATTCACATTTCAGGCTAGAATTGGATCAAGATAACTTCTGCTGGCTAACGTTCACAAAGCATTTCATAGCTGTAATAGTTAACCTCCCTCGGGAAGACAGTTCCACGATTCCAGTGGTAACAAAGATTAAGAAAATACATTTTCTTGTGCCCATGG